GAGCGTTGGAGGTCTGGTGAGGCTCGGGAGAAGGAGGGGTCGGGACTCGAGGACTGAGGGAAGCAGGGGCACGCCAGCGGTGATTCTGGGAGGGCTCGGGGGAGGAGGGGGTCCAGGGGCCGAGATGGCCAGGAAGACGACGAACCACGAACGAACGAACCACGAAAATAAAGGCTTCGGCGGCCCAGGGGGGCTGCCCTGGGAGGCTCGGGGGAAGGAGGGGTCGAGGGCTGAGGGAAGCAGAGGACCAGCGGGTGATCCTGAGAGGCCCGGGGAAGGGGGGTCCGGGCCCGAGAGGGCCAGGGAGGACGACGAACCACGAACGAACGAACCACGAAAATAAAGGCTTCGGCGGCCCAGAGGGGCTGCCCTGGGAGGAGAGGTCCAGGGCCCAGGGAAGCAGGGCAGGCCAGCGGGTGATTCTGGGAACCCCGGGGGGGGGGCAGGGCCCGAGGTGGCCAGGGGCAGGCCAGCGGGTGATCCTGGGAGGCTCGGGGGAGGGGGGGGGGTCCAGGGCCCGAGAGGGCCAGGGAGGACGACGAACCACGAACGAACGAACAACGAAAATAAAGAAGTCCGAGCTCTAGAGCACAGCTGTGCAAGAGAATAAAGTGGTCGGGGCGGAGAGGGCGGCGCGCTGGGCTGCTGGGGAAAAGGACAGGGGGGGGGGGCGACGACGACGCCGAAATAAGGTGGGTCGGGGCGGAGGGGCCGCGCGCTGGGCAGCTGAGTATAGGGAGAGGGGGGGGCGACGACGACGCCGAAATAAAGGGGTCGGGGCGGAGGGAGCGGAAGATCTTGGTTTCCTCACTCAAGGGAGTGAGCTCGGTGCGTAGTGCACCCCCGCAGCTGGCATGCTCGGCGCCCCACGGAGGAGCACAAAAACCTCCCCCCCCCCTTGGAGGCTTCTTGGGCCATCTTGGAGCCGTCCTGGGCCTTCTTGGGGCTCTCTTGGAGGCCATCCGGGCCACCATGGAGGCGGGGGGAGCGACTACTACCACGATCTACTTCTACTACTACTACTACTACTACTACTACTACTACTACTACTACTACTACTACTACTACTACTACTACTACTACTACTACTACTACTA